GGAAGGGAACTGAGAATAGGTGGGGGGAGAAAGAGCAAGCTGCCTTCTCCGCGCTCAAAACTTTTATGTGCTCAGTCCCTGTCCTTCGCATCGCCGATCCTCACCGTCCATTCGAAGTAATCACAGACGCCAGCGACATCGTCATCGGAGCAGTACTGTTACAGGATTTCAGCGAAGGTCGACAGCTAATCGCGTAAGAGTTACGAAAGTTGCACCCGCCAGAGCGAAATTATCCGATACACGACAAGGAAATGCTCGCGATTGTGCACGCCTTCAAGGTGTGGCGGTGCTACCTGACGGGCGCATACGTGACAGTACGGACAGACCATCGCAACCTATAGTATATCCGCGCACAGCCACTGCTCAACTCACGACAGATCCGGTGGTTGGACTTCATGGAGTCCAATTTTCACTACACGATCACCTCCAAAAAAGGGGCATCGAACATTGCAGACCCCTTTTCTCGCCCATCCGCCCATCTCAACTCCATAATCCTCGCCCAGACTTCTCCACTATTAAAAGGTCTATTTATCCACGTGTACCAGACAGACAGATTCTTTACGTTGGGTGAGTACGAGCAGGTCGCAACGGCTAAGGGAGTCTATTACGTAAAGACAGGGACTGACCGCATCTGGGTACCAGAGTACATCCTACTGCGGGAATTACTTTTACGAGAAGCTCACGACAGTACCGTTTCAGGGCACTTCGTAGTAGAGAAAACGAGCCAGCACTTGACTAGATATTATTTGTGGCCCGATATGCAAGGGGACGTGCAGCGGCAAGTGGTTTCGTACGAGATTGCCGGCCAAGGACGGCTTCAATGACGCGATATGTATTGTCGTTGATAAGCTGAAGAAGATGGCCCATTTTGCCGCCAGCAAGAAAAGCATCACAGAAAAAAAAACAGCCCGCCTCTTCATCTTGACCGTCGTTCGCCTCCACGAAATTCCATCTGCCATTATTTTCGTCAGAGACACGAAATTCACCAATAACTTCTGGTGCAACTTGTGGGAACAGTTTGGCACGCGCCTGCAATTCTCCTCCACCTACCATCCCAAGACCGATGGACACACCAAACGGGCCAATCAGACAATGGTGCAGCTGATTCGCACCACCTGCGATGACGTGGCCGACTAGGAGCAGCAAGTGCCACTGATTGAGTTCGCGTACAATAATGCCCCATCAGCCACTATGCGACAGTCACCATTTTACCTGAACTACGGGCAGAACCCTATAGTACCGATCATGCCCAACATCGAAAATCCAGTACTACGAGCCCAACAGTTCGTCGAAATATTACATAAGTGCGCGAATGTAATCTCTAAGCGCAACATCGATCTACACCGACGGGCAGTCACTTACCAAACTGGAGACTTAGTACTACTCAACACCCAGAATCTTCGACTGCCCATCGTCCCGAAACTCCGCCCCCACTACTGTGGACCATTTACCATCAACCACATGATATCCTCCGTTACAACCCATCTACTGTTACCGACCACCTGGAACGTCAGCCCATCATTCCACGTGCGATTACTTCGACCCTACATAGCAAGCTCCAGTAAACTACCACGTCACCGAGCGAACCTGAACATCCGACAGCTCGCCGAGACTACTGTCGAGCCTGCGAAGATTCTCGGCCATCGGATCAAGGATCCTCGCGGGGCTCGCCTGGTCGAGTTTCTGATATCCTGGAAGGATCGAACGACCCTGGAAAACATTTGGGTACCACTGGCCAAGATCGAGAATAACCCAGTGTTACGGGTCTACCTCTAGTCTCGCAATGTGCGCGATGTCGGCGGTCTTAGCTAAGACCATACCTTGGACGAGGGAGGGTGTAAGGAAATGGTATTTCCTTATCACAGGTTTTACTCAGTAAGGCGTACACAGCTATAACGAGGTCGCTTCGCAGCTCTGCCACGAAATTCAAATCATAGTCCCAAATGTGGTCTCCTGACGAGCCGCATACATTGTTGCCCGCCTTGCAGTTGCATGCCTAGATTTAGGCTCTCCGCGCCATTTAACAAACCACACGTCGCAGCTCTGCCGAGCCACGAGCGTATGCTCATAGGCTAGCTATATCCATTCTCCCTGCTGTTTTGATGTTGTCTCAATTGTATTGTTTCTTCGCTAATCAATTCTTTGACACACGCTCGTCGCGCTTCATTACATCTACCCTCGGCAGATTGCACGAGGTCACATGTGGTGCTGACGAGGAACATCCCTGGCCAAGCAGAGGCGAGCAGCAGTAGGAAGGTATCAGTGAGCGTCAGGTACATTGGCAAAATTGATCAGATTGCGTCATGTGCCTCTCGTTGTTCCCTGGTATGTTTGTTTCGGGCTGCCTAAATAACTAAAATCCATAGAGGCCCGCATGCCATTGTGGTTGACATAAACCCTAATCTCGGGGCGCTTGTTGTTTCCGGGCAGGTTTCTGCCCGCCATTTGACGCATTTTGATCGCCCTGCCAATGTACCTGAGGTGGCGTACGTAGAAACGACATGTCACGTTTGGCTGTGTCAAACCAGAGCGCCGCTACGTTTGGGGGTTAAACACTTTAGCTGCCGTGTCAAACCGAATCGCGTGCACGAAAAATAGAGAAGGGTACTCATTGGCCAGCGCCAGCGCCGGCGCCCCATCTACAGACGATGCCAAACCTTATCGTAGCTCAACCTGGCACCCAATTAGAATCGTTTCCCGGAACCCCCGATACACGGGCAATGAGAGATCCGTTTGAGTCACGCATGATTGCGTCTGCGATCAACATATAGCAAAGGACAAGTCGTGCCGACGAGGTTTCGTCACCACGGAACTGTGCACCGCCGTCGCCTGATCGCTTCACAAGAGTCGCACACTAGCAACAAACATCGCCACACAAGCCCCCCCTCCACAAATACCCACCCATTTCGCCGTCTACTCGTGCGAATGCCTCATTTGCCCATGGCGAGGGCATGCGAAATACTTGAGCGGTTGAATTCCCGGAACTCATCTTTTGCGACTCTGACGAGCTTCGCTTGTACATTGTTGGCGGGGAAAATCTACCAACGCATTTCGAGGCATCATGCTGGCCTTTCGTTGATTGGGCGAGAGCTGTTGGTCAAGTAGTCCAAAGCGACGAATTTGGTTGACTCGCGACAGTTCCACGCTTCCGTCAGCTAGTCATTCAACAAATTTTAGGGGTCCAGGTGAAATTGACACTCTGCAAACAATGTTGTCGAGTGTCAAATCGAATCGCGTGATCCTGTGGAAATGACATGTCGTTTCTACGGACACAGCCCGATGCTCGTTGATCTCTTCCCGGCAGCAGTTCGTTGAAAGAGCGCCTGCCTTGGTTTGGTTTCCGCTTTGGTTTGGAAGCGAGGCTCTTTCTCCCCGCTTGTTCCCAGATGTAGGGCGCGGTACAAAAAAGCTAGGGTCAGGATCACAGCCAGGATCGCGGCGCCATGATGTGGCAATGATGACGCTTCACCGTACTGAAACGCCATTGAACTCTTTTTACCAAATTAAATCGGCTTGAAACTCGTGAGTACTGTGATATTGAGGTCGGACCCTGGAAAGTGGTCTCATGTATGGCGCCGCCTGTGGGGTGAAGGCTTGGACCGATGAATGGATAGAATACAGTCGATGCCCAACCTTATCGCAGCTCAACCTGGCGCCCGATCAGAATCCGTTCTCAAAACCCCCGATATACGGGCAATGGCAGATCCGTTTGAGTCACTCATGATTGCGTCTACGACCAGCATATAGCAAGGGACAAGTCGTTGCCGACGAGGTTTCGTCGCCACGGAACTGTGCACCGCCGTCTCCTGATCGCTTCACAAGAGTCGCACACTGGCAACAAACATCGCCACACAAGCGCCCCCCACAAATACCCACCCATTTCGCCGTGTGCTCGTGCGAAAGCCTCATTTGCTTGTGGCGAGGGAATGCGAAATACTTGACAGATTGAATCCTCGGCACCCTAAAATCTTGTGCGACTCTGACGAGCTTCGTTTATACACAGCTGATGAGACTGCTGTACAGTGCACCTAACCTGCGACATCTTCAGTGAAGATTCTTCACTACTGATAACTTCACACACTGTACGATTTACCCTTCCATCTAGGTCTGCCCGCAGTTGTCTCAAGAAAATAATTAAATAACATGAGCACTTTTTGGGCTCGAACATTTCGGGCCTCTGCGATCTCTCACGGGGTTCGACGACAATTACAGCATACTGTTTCAGTACGAGGGGCGTGCTCTTCGAGTCCGCCCTTCTCTACCTGTAGAACTAGACACAATCCTTTAGGGTTTCCATCACCCCAAGCCTCAAGCTGTGCTGGGCGTGTTTGACTCGAAAGTTTCCAGGTTGTGAAAATGTCGCGATCTAGGTGTAGGAGAGTTCACAGCGGATTCTGGCCTGGCTGAAGAAATGCATTTTGTCAAGAATTTTGCACAGATGCCAGGCTGGGAAGGACGTGGCTCAGCGAAATGCGTGGTTCTGTGGTTGGGGGTGTACTGTACACAACAGTTTTAGAGGCTAGCGACAAGGCTTCAGACAACGTTGAGTCAGCTTTTAGGACATGTCGCGGAACCGAATTGTCACGTTTCGTACCCCTTTGAATTAACGAGGCGCCGCACTCCATCGTTTTGTGAAGTCCCAGGATATCGTCTCACGCAGCCCTGACATCCAGGATATCGTCTGGCAAAGACAACTTCTCTAACGCCGCACCAAGCGAGATACGATGTGATCTGCCTCGCGTCGCCCTCAGTCATGACTTCATGGAGGATTGCATCCTCCCGCCCCGAACCACTCGCTCCCTTCCTCCGTTTCTGTCTTCAGCCTCGTCCAGGAGGGGGCTCGCCAACTGTGCCAGCGCTAGGCTGGGGGGCAAAGGGCCTCTAGGGGTGGGAAAGGACATTGAAGGGGAGCAGCGGAGGACGGGGGAATAGTACTAAACGAGGGGAGCGCATGTATCCGGTCCGGACACCCCCACCAACCCCAAGGCCGGGTTCTTCCCGTTCCTTACGCTCAGAGCTCTCGCCGTCTTTATGACCAGAACGGTCACAGCGAAAAGTGACGTCAGGGATGACGTTAACGCGGCGGATCCGAGGCGTAGAGCTCCCACAGGCGATCGGATTCGCCCACTGCTGTCGCCGCATTCGCACAACTCTCCCCTCGGCTTGCCCTGGGAAGACGGGTCGAACCGTCAGGATCTTAGTGCGATCCAAGATCCTCGAAGCAGGCTTCAGTGAGGGCAAGTGAGGCGCTACAGTGTGCTGGGCGCGAGTAAATGCAGGGACGAACTGTACCTCATTTGCTGTTCTAGGGTTGAGTCCCGCGCTGCCCGAGTCGAGACTGAGAAGCCCCGGCCCGAGTCGAGGCTGAGACGCAGGGTTCGACGGGGATAAAGGCTCCGACCTTCGCGAACTCTTCTGTCTTCCCTCGTTCCGCAAGCCCCCAAGCGCCGCTTCAGGTTCTTCCCGCTGCACACAGGAACCTCCAAATTCACCCACCTGGCTGCACTCACAATCTGGTCCGTCAATCACACTTATAATGGCGTCGTGTAAGCTCATCCGACCACACCTTGACATCTCATCCCGGCAATCGCGGGCTGTTCTGCGCAGCGCAGATCTCGATCTACTCGCGCTGGAAGGCCGCCTCTCGCTGCTGGACGCTCAGCGCGAACTCAATGCGATCCGCTGCGAACAGTTTGTTACCAGGTTACAGTCGTTTTTGAGGGAGGGCGAGAGCGAAGGCGACGAATTGCGGGATAATTGGGAGCCGCGCAGAGGGAGAAGAATGTCGTCTCGCTACAGTCACAGTCGCGAGGCAGCAGCGGTGGGGCGCGGCGACATCCCCCGCGCGCAGTCAGTGCCGGAGATCGGCGGCCAGAGAGCGCCACGCAGCAGCCATGGCGGTCGCAGCGCCAGAAGCCAAGGGCTGGGCGCTGAGCGCCTCACGCGGTGGGCCTCCTGCGAGCAGCACTTGAACGGCGAGGACGGAGAGTGGTGACTCTGTCCAGGGCCAGGCGCGTCACCGTTCCGTCTGCTCCTAAACCCGACGAGCGAGCGGCTGATCAGCACACAACACCTCCTGCTGTACATAACGTTTTTGTTCCAGTGGCTGTGGAATTGCTGCAGTGCGTGACTGGGGCTATCCAGCATCCCCGCGCAACCCAGCCTTGCATTGATGTTAGTGCCCTGAAAACATGGGGGCCTGTTCTGTTTGTGCCTCGTATGCAAATGAATGTCACTGAATCGCGTCACCCCTTCCATCTGTACAAGAACATTCGGCCTGGGTTCTTAGAAGCTGGTGAGGTGACATTGAAATTGTCGATGATCAGTCTGCAGCATGCCGTGTGGTGGCACCATCATCGCCACCCCTTCCTGGTAGGGCAGGAAGCCCAAACTCCAGCAACAATCTAACTCTTCCTGCCCATGCTCCTGACAAAAGGAATACCTTGTCCTTGACTCCTGGTGAATCTACCATGAGGTCCTCCCTCCCCGCTGTGTTACCAATCAACTCCTAGGCATCTCCACCTCTATGGATTCACTCTCATCTGCACGTACGCCTCCCTCAGCGCCACCTGCACCTCGTCCGGCAGCACGTCCAGCCCACCGTTGTCGCGCATGGCGGGGTACCAGCGGGCCATGCACCGCACTGCCTCGCCCACCACCTCCCACTGCCCCACCGCCCATGCCGCCTGCACCACCGCCTCCCCTGCTTCCCAGGGCGCCTGCCTCCATGTAGTGGTGCAGCCGCTGCTGCCATTGCTGCTGCCAGCCCTGTAGTGCATGCTGCTGCTGACCCTGTGACCGCTGATGGCTGTGTCGTGACACATGGCGCGAAGCCGTGTTGCCACGCAGCACAGGGTGGCAGTGTGTAGAGCGGGCAGCATCCATTGGTCAGCGAGGGAGGCGAGATGGACGGCTGAGATGAGGCGAGAGATGAGGGGGAGAGGGGGCAAGCGCAGGGAGGAGAGGGGGATGGGCGGGCTGCAACGAGCAGCTGAGCTGCTCGCAGCACCAGCTGTGCTTGGCTGCACGGGGTTGCAGGGCATTGGCGCGGCAGCAGGGGGGAGGGGGAGGGGGCGGAAGGAGATGTGGCTGGAGTAGAGGAAGCGGAGGAGGGCGATGAGAGCCGGCAGGGGCAGGGGCGGCAGGTGGAGCTCCTGCTGCCAGCTGACGGGCGCGTGTGGCGCCAGGCGAGGGGGGGGGGTGGAATAGGGGAGGGCGGGGATGAAGAGGTGGATGATGTGAGTACGTGGAGGGTGATGGAGCAACAACGTCAGTGGGCATGCTGAGAGGTGTAAAAACTTGTAAAGAAAGACCGGCGAGAAACAGCAACAGAACTTGTAACTCGAAACTCTTTCATCTTCACACGTAGTGCGCATTCCAAATGGATCCAACCTCTCTCTCGCATCCACCTCCCGCTTCCCCCTCCCCCCCAAGTGCACCCTGGACCCAGTGCCGCACATGCCACTTGTCGCGCACAGAGTGCTCCTCATCATCCACCGTGCCTCGTTCCCCATCGCCCAACCCCTCCTCACTTTGCTCCCCCCCTCACCTCTCGCGCATGCCTCACCTCTCGCGCATGCCGCTGCGGAAAATGGCCCCAAGGTACTGGCTCCTGGCGCCCAGCACACAGCGGTGCGCCGCCACGCGCACACACCGCCACATGCCGCCGTGCCGCCCCTCTGCCTCATCTCCTGTGCCTGGCCCGCCGCATGCCCCATGCGCTCCTTCCCCTCTGCTGTCACGGCTGGCAGGGTGCTCACGAGAGTGGCAGCGCCGGGCATGGCGGTGGCACGGCACGCAGAGGACAACGTCGCTGACGGACGGGCACGTGCACACGCAGGGATGGCGGCAGAGCCAGAGAGGAGAGATATGGGCGAGAACGAGAGGTGGATGAACGAGAAGGATGGCGCAGTGTGGAGCAGAAGCATGGCTAAAAGGGCATGGGTGGTTGCGACAAGAATATATACTGGTTGTAGATGTGGAATGAAAGGAAGAGAAGAGGGCAGCACGAGAGGGCAGAGCAGGAGCATGGGGCACACACACACCGTTCAACCGACAATGTTCTAACATGCATGATGCATGGTGCGTCGAAACCACCATGCCATGGTGCACGCTGCAACGCCATCCCTCACCTCCAAGGCACTCCAGCGGGACCAAGTGCTGACGTCAGATCACACCCACTAACGTCATTCCTGCCCCAAATCGGCCAATCACAGCGAAGCAGCGCAACAAGCCCATCCAATCGGCACTTTATTGCCAGTTGCAGCAGTTCCTGTGATGGCGAATGAGTGAGCGACACCTGTCCTGTGTAGATATACTCCAGCAACTGACTGAACGCCTCAGCAGTCACACCCTTCCCCAGTCGCACCTCCCTCACAACCCCCCTCGCTCCCTCCGGCCGTTCTCCTCCTTCCCCTGCCATTCCGTGCCCACTTGCCTCCTCACCCTTTGCTGGAACGGGAGGAGAGGGGCTGCTGGGAAGGGGGCGCGGGGGAGTGGGGCGGGCAGACGCGGAGGGGACCTTGAGGGGCGCGAGGAGGGCGGGGCAGCGCGCAGCGATGATTGCCCCGTGGGCCACGACTCGCTGAGGGGAGGCGGCAGAGGAGGGCGGGGAGGACGAGGGGTGGGAGAGGATGAAGGCCACGTGCGCCCTGGCGTCCGCAGGGCAGGGCGTGCGCGGGGTGAAGGGCGTGTGCATGGTGGCAGGAGGGGAGGATGACGAGGGACAGGCGGAGGAGCAGAGAGCAGAGCGGATGTGGCGAGCAACAGGCGAGGGCACACCGACTGTGGCGGTCAAGCCGTCGCACGGCCGTGCAGAGGCAGCAGGCTGGGCAGGGGAGTGCAGGAGTGAGAGGGGCACGGAGCGGCAGAGCGAGAGGCAGCGGGCCGCGAGACAGCGGAGCCCGGCAGGGGATGCGGGATGGAGGAGGCGAGCGAGCGAGGGGAGGAGGGCGTGGGGGAGCGCGGGTTGAGGGGCTGATGGGAGGTCGGGTGACGTGGGTGGGAGAGATGGCAGCGCGGACAAGGTGGAGGGTGGCGACGTGGGGCGGTGCGGTACGGCGGATGGGGGGAGCAGGAGGGCCAGGAGGGCTGTCAGGGCAGAGAACAGGATGACGTCATCACCCTGCCATGCTGTGACGTCAGCACTGTATGGAGCATGGGGCATTGCAGGCCCTTCATGGGCGTGCAGCAGCCGCATGATGTCACCGCCCATCTCATCACCTACCTCACTACCTGCCTCACAGCTTACCTCACCCCCCGTTATCCCCATCACCTCATCCTCCTCCCCCTCCATCTCCCCCTCCTCCCACCACGCGTCACTCCTCTCAACCCATCCCCACTCATCCTCCTCCCCACCCTCCTCTCCTCCGCCAATCCGCCCACCATCTGGCAACCCCTCGCCCTCGTTTGACCCTGCTCGCCCCTCGCCCTTCCTCCCATCCTCACCGCTGCCCCTCGCATCGTCCCTCTCCTCCATCCACATCCCCACCCGCGCCACCACCACCGCCCCCACTGCCTGCACGCCCCCCTCCGCCCGCAACGCCTCCTCGCATCGCCAGTCAAACGCCAGAGCCGCCACCATGAGCAGCTTTGAGGAAGCTTCCACCTCGACCCTGGGCGTGTTGGCCCCATGCAGCAGTGCGGCGGCGCGGTCCGTGTGCCCGCGCGAGCACAGGCGGCACGCCAGGGACGCCTGGCGCAGGGCAGAGGACGCCAGGGCGGTGATGGAAGGCAAGCGGCGAGGGGAGGATGGGCGGGTCCCGTCTACTGCTGGGAACGGGGGGGTGCAGGTATGGGCGCCGCTGCTGCTGTCCCCACTCCCTCCCTCACCCACTCCCCAGCCATCGCTCTGCCCCCCACTGGGCGTTGCAGTGCTCGCTGGCGCTGCGGGGAAGTGAGGCGCATGCGGGTCAGCTGCTGCTGGCGCCGGTGGGCAAGCACGCGGACGGACGGGTGCAGCTGTGAGCGCATGGGAGAGAGCAGCGCGCGAGCGAGAGGCGAGGGCGGGGCAGGGAGAGGAGAGGAGAGCGAGGAGGGCGGAGAGCAAGGCATGGGCCGTGGCAGGTGGCAGTGGAGGGTGGGGGGAGGGAGATGGCGAGGCAGCGGGCGCGGCAGATAGAGGAGAGGGTTGGATGGTGGTGGGAGCGACAAGCGAGAGAAGGCGAGAGCTGCACACAGGTGAAGGTGGAAGAGGGACGAGCAGAGGGGGGAATGAGGGGCGAGCAGAGGGGGGAATGAGGGGCGAGCAGAGGGGGGAATGAGGGGCGAGCAGAGGGGGGAATGAGGAAGCCATTTCTGGCTGAAGGAGGGGAGATGCCACAAGTGAGCACGGGATAAGAGAGCGTGTGCTGGTAAGTTGACGGAGGGAGGGAACTATGGCTGACAAGAAAGCACCAATTACAGCGGCCACAACGCAATCCCTCCTTTTTGCCACTGCCCTCCTCCCCTCACCATGCCAGCGCTGCCACAGCCTCCATGCCTGCATGCCCCTCCACGCCCCCCTGCCCCTCCCCACCTCCTCCGGCCCCGCCGTTCCTCCCGCCTGCCACGCCCCTGCTCTCACCGCTCTCGCCTACCCTCACACGCCCTCTGCTTCCCGCCTCCTTCGCCTTCACTAGCGTCACACCACCCTCAGAGTCACACACTGCCACGTGGCAGAATGCTGCCATCCATCTGACTGCCTCCCATGCTGCAGCCATCACGGCTTCTGAGGTGGCCACATGGGCTGCCACCTCGTTCATCCCAGTCATCGTCACATCACCCACCCCACCGCCCACCCCCCGCTCACTGCTAGCCTCTCCGCATTCTGACTCTCCATCCACCCCACCGCCCAGCAGGGCACGCATCAACGCAGATGCAGACAAACCTGCCGCCCACAGCACGGCTGGGTCATGATGGGTGCCTGGCCAGCGCAAGAGACTTGCTGCAGTCTGCCAGCCAGCTGCTGCCACATGGCTGGATGCTGAGTCATCGGGCGCTGAGCTGGCGGGGAAGGAGGCGGATGAGATGAGGCGGAGTGAGGGAGGGTGAGAGCAGTGGCAGGGGGGGAGGGGGGGGGGTGCGAGGGCTGCTCGCAGGGAGAAGGCGAGGAGGGGTGTGAGGGGCGGCGCAGTAGAGGCGATGGCAGCAGCAGTGGGGGAGGGAGATGCAAGACGGCAGGCAGCAGCGAAGGACGGGTGGCTCTGCGCACAGGCAGGGGAGCAATGGGATCAGGAGAATCGATTGGTGCTGAGACGGGTTGGTTGCGGACGGTGACAGACTGATGACGTGGCTGCAGTGGGTGGATAGGGCGATGTAGCAGCAGAGCCGGGATGGGGCATATGGCGGTGGAAACTAGAAGCACGTGGGGGAGGGAGGATGACGGGTGAAGTGAAGGTTGCAGTGGTGGCACGCACGCATTGCGCCAACGGCTGTGATGGTATAAGTGGCACGGATCAAACTCAACGCTTGGAGCGATGCTTGCGAGGAGTGAGTTGGCAACGAGATGCAACAGCGTGATGAGATGAGAGAGGCAGAAGCACGTACAGCAAGTGCTCGCACGAGGGCGAGTGCGGCTTGGCGGCACGCGCGACAGGCGACGAGGCAGGTGAGGGAGGGGGAGGAGAATGAGGAGGAGCGGGAAGAGGCGGAGGGCGTGAGATGGCGGGCGAGAGCTGGGAGGAGTTGAAGTGGGGGCTGTAGCAGCATGTGGCACGCCGAGGGGTGCTGCGCTGAGAGCAGATTGGGAGAGGAGATTGGGAGAGGAGGTTGGGAGAGGAGATTGGGAGAGGAGATTGGGAGAGGAGATTGGGAGAGGAGATTGGGAGAGGAGATTGGGAGAGGAGATTGGGAGAGGAGATTGGGAGAGGAGATTGGGAGAGGAGATTGGGAGAGGAGAAAGGAGGAGGAGGAGAAGAGGAGAGATGCACGCATGCCGACGACGGAACGCATGGATGGAGTGAGAGACTGGTGGAGGGACGAATTGCAAGCATGGGCAGCAGGGACAAGCCACGCTCACCCATGACGCTCACAAGGCTCAACGCCGCTTCCGCCACCGCACCGCCAGCAGTACCATCCGCATGGCCGCCACTCGGCAGTGCCATGCCCACCACCTGTGCCATGCGCCACGCCCTCTCCACCGTGTGCCCTCCTGTCGCTCCTCCCTCACCCCTCGCACTCTCTTGACTGCAACCCGAGGGCCGCCACTGCAGCGGGAGGAGCTCTCTCGTGATCTCGGTGAGGGCGGGCGGCCAGCGGTGCGCGAGAAGCTGCAGCACGTGCAGCACTGCCGCCACCGCTGCTGGCCTCCGCGCCTCCCAGGGCACTCTCTGCTCGCAGCTAGGGCTGCTGCTGCTGCTGCTGCTGCTGCTGCTGCTGCTGCTGCTGGTGGTAGTGGCGTTTTCTCTGTTGCAATCCAAGGCTCTGCTTTTGCCCGTGATGCATTGCGCTCTCGACTCACCCTGCCCCGTGTCCTCCCTCCCTGCAGCAGGTGGGGCAGCCGTGTGAGAAGCCGCAGCAGCAGGAAGAGGCGCAGAAGCAGTGGCGCTGTGAGCATGATGGTAGCAGTTGGCACTAGAGTCCTTCCCTGTGCCGCCACCACCACCATCCCTCCCTCTCATGCGCACTCCCCCTCCCCCCATCACCCCCCTCCCTTCCCCCCTTTCTGCTGGCCCCCACAGCCACTCCGCTGCACACCCCACCACCCCCCCTCCTAGCGGCCCTGCCTTCCGGCCCTCCCCCCCATCCCTGCACGCGCTGCCAGGCACAGGCGTGGCGGGCGACAGATAGAGGCGCCACAGCGACGCCAGGAGGGCAGGGGTGATGCAGGCGGACGCGAGAGGCAGGGAGAGGGGAGGGGGAGGAGGGGAAGGGAGGGGGAGCGTGGTGGGGGAGAGAGCGAGGACGGAGGAGGGGAGGGCGGGTATGGGGGCGTGGGTGAGTGGGCGAAGGAGCGGTTGAGGGGGGAGGATGAGGAGGGAGGCAGAGATGGCAGTGCATGCGTCCAACACCACCTCGTCCGCTGGGACAGGGGTGAGAGCGCGGACAATGCGCACAAGGGGGCGTGGAAGGGGAAGCGGAAGGGGACGTGGTGGGGTTTGGTTGTTGCAAAAGGCAAGGTGAGACAGGCGAAGGAGGGCAGCTGAATGGGCAACGCAGTGAAGAAGAGGCGAAAAGCGAGCCAAAAGGCACTCCACAGCGGCATGCAGTGCACGCGGCGCCTGTGATACGCCGCCACTGTGTACCCCCCACCCCAAGGCAAGCCAAGGCACATGGATCGCTTCGCACTGCCCCTGTTAGAGCACTCGCGACTCACAACTCACACGGGCGGCTCTCAGCCACTGTGCCACGATCCATCCACTCCCCCTCCCCTATCCCCCCCCCTCCCCCTCTCCTTTGAACGACTCAATCCATGGGGAGGCGCCCACGACTCACACGCTGCATCGACGTGGCCCATCAGCGCGAGCAGCACGGCGACTGTGGCTGTGTCGCGCCACCACCTGCCCCCCGCCACGCACATGTGGGCGCACGCGCGCACCGCCTGATGGCGCATGGAGGGCAGAACGGGCGGGGCAACGCAGGCGAGCAGGTAGAGCAGCGCGGCGCACGCCGAGTCGTAGAGCGCCTGGTGGGGGGGGGGCAGGGGAAGGCACAGGGGAAGGTGACTTTGGACACACGAGAGCAGACTGGTCGGTTTGAGAGCTTGATGAGAGCACGCAAGCGCGCAGGAGAGCGAATGGCGTCCAGTAGCAGCGGAGGCAACAGGGGTGGACGTGGACGGGCATGCATGCATGCACTACCTGCTGCTGCACCCAAATCAACGGCACGTTGCTGTTGCTGACACGACACGCCTCTCACATCCACACGCCATTCCCCTACTCTCACTCCACCGTCACTACCCCTCGCTACCCCCTCCGCCAGCAGCACCCGCCCAGCAGCCCAACACCTCACTCCCGTTCCCCAGCCAGCCACACCACACTTACCTTCACTGCTCGCCGGCACACCACGTCACTCCACAGAGGCATTTCATTGGCCGCAACGAAATCAAGCAAACGTTGCAAGCCACGCAGCAGCTGACTGTGCAGGGCGGTGTCGCAGGAAGCCCACTGCCACTGCCACGTGTCCTGCCATGGGCCAGCTGCCTGCCACGTGGCAGCAGCACCGCTGGCAATTGTAGCAGGACGCGAGGATGCAGGGGTTGGCGGTGATGCTCCTGCGGCCATGCCAGCATGCCATGTCATGACACAATTTCAAAGCATGTCAGCAGCATGCCACCCTGGATTCATGGCGCAGCGCCACAGCATGGAAGCCCAGGACCGTGTGTAATGAGTCGACTCATTACACACACAGCATTACACACACAGCATTACACGCACAGCATTACACACACAGCATTACACACACAGCATTACACACACAGCATTACACACACAGCATTACACACACAGCATTACACACACAGCATTACACACACAGCATTACTCACACAGCATTACACACACAGCATTACACACACAGCATGGAAGCCCGGGACCGTGATTGAGCATGAAGAGGCGGTGCCATGGCATGGCATGAACGTGACTCAAGGAGGACAGCAAGGCCGACTTGAATGACCACCTTGGGCCAAAATTGGCCAGCAATGATGGCGCAGTGGCCATTCATGGACTGCAACCGTCCCTCTACCCCACCCCTTTCTTCCCCCTCGCCCTCTCCCCGCCGCATCTATTCTCGACCTCTCTGCTACCCTCTCCCACCCTGCGACTCGCGACGTCACCTCTTCTCTCCTGTCTCCTCGCGCCTGCCACGCGAGCGGTGGAGCGGAGAGGGCGAAGGCGCGGGGCGATGGAGGGGGCGCGGATAGGAGCACTGGACTAGCGCGCCGGTGGAGCAGCCTGAGAGCCCACGCCAGGCGAGCCCACGCCAGGCGAGGCGAGGCGAGGCGATCGCACCTTTCCAGGCGACGGCGAGGGCGGCCGCGAACGGCTTCTGCGCCTCGTCCAGCGACCGCTGCAGCTGCCGCCGCCGCGCCTCCCGCTCGCGCGACTCCCGCTCCCTCTCCCGCTCGCGGCCCTTACCACTCGCCCCGCCGCCATCGCCTCGCTGCGATCTGTCCGGCGGCGCTAGGCGCACTCGCGCGTGGCGCGACGCATCCATGGCGGTGAGGGAAGGCGGCGTGGCATCGATGCGGTGACAGATTGCTCGTGCAGGCTGGTAACTCTAAGTTACACCTTAGTTGCTTCATACAATGCGAAATAGTACTAGTTGTACTTGTTCATTCCTCAAGTGCAGAGTTTCACTAAGACTTGCGGAATGTACTCATGGATGGATGCATAAATATCAGCAGAATTTGTGCCATATTAAGTCCCACCAGGACATGCTATAACGGAACGTCCTGACCATCTTCCTCCCCTACTGAACTGGCGCCTCCCACTTCTCGTTCCTAATCTTGATTGCATGATCCGCTGAACTATCACCCCGAGAGAACAAGGGAGATATAGGGTTGGAGTTTTACCCTCTAAGAACACAAACCTATCTAGTCTATAACTTCTACATACAAATATATGTATAAGTTGACATTTATGTAGGCTTGGTAGGTGTTCTACATTTATGGATCTTATTGTAGAGGGTACAACATCCTTCTTGTACCTCTCTCTATCTTCTAGTCCATCACTCTTTTCTCGTCATTTTTCTCCCTAGGTAAAACCTCTCGACATTCCTAGTGCCTAGTTACCTAGTTAGCTCCTTCTCACATGGTTTCAGAGCAGGAAGATCCTGCTGCGCCTTGTCATCACGCTTTCGCAGCGTACTCTTTCCCTTCCATTCACATTCGTGCCGCCGTGGCGGCCTCGCGGCGCTGCCGCGACGACCTCGTCGAGCAACCGTGGCGGCCTCTCCGCGCTGCCGCGGCGACCTTGTCGATTTCGCGCATTGATTCCGTGGCGGCCACGTCGTGCTGCCATGGCGGCCCCGTTGCGCTGCCGTGGCCTCGACAAACTGCCGTGGCGTCAACGCCATGCCATGGCAGTGTGGTCATGCTGCCGTGGCACCTTCGCCGTGCCGCCGTGCCTCCGTGTTGCCGTTCCGTCATGCCGCTGTGTCGCAATGCCGCCGTCCCACCATGCTGCCGTGCCACGGTGCCGTCGCGTCGCCGTGCCGCCGTGCCGCTGGGTCGCCGTGCCTCCGTGCCGCCTTGTCGTCGTGCTGCCATGGCGGCTTCGCCGCGCCAGCGCACGGACGGCTGCGGCCAGCACCCTGTCTTAGGCGCCAGCCATGACGCCCGCGCGCTAGCCAGTGCGCCAACCACGGGCGCCTTGCTGAAGCACGCCCCTCCCCTGCGTCTTCCCTTATTCCAACCGTACCTGATGACTCCATACCCGGTCGTCGTCGAGCCGTGCCATGCCGCTGGGTGCTGCGAGCTTCGCAATCGTCGCCGCCGTCGTTGAAGCTGCTGCCGCCACCTCCGCAGCCTCTGTCGTCGTCGTAAAAGCCGTCGCTGACGCCGTTGCTGCCACCCGCCGCCGCTGACGTCGTTCCTGCCACCCGCCGCCGTTGTCGCCGCTTCACACGAGGGGTAGAAGCCATGCCTGCTCCAGGACATGGGGGTCCATGGGCTTGGGGGTGTTGCGTGTGGGGTGGGCTTGCGAGTACCAAGCCTAGGGGGTGTGTCATTTTATATACAGTATATTATATATATATTTGTGTAGGCTTGGTAGGTGCTCTACATTTATGGAACTTACTGTAGAGGGTACAACACCCTTCTTGTACCTCTCTCTCTTCTAGTCCAACACTCTTTTCTCTCGTCACTTTTCTCCTAGCTAAAATCTCTCAACATTCCTACTGCCTAGCTACCTAGTTAGCTCATTCTCACAGTTTTTTCCGTCTCGCTAACTCGCCCATCCGCACTCAAGATTCAAAACCTTTGCATCTTGAGTTTGGTCTGTACGCTCGCTTTAACGTGGTGAGAAATATGAAATTTAAGGCGCGGTACACATTCACTTCAATTTGTTTCAAGTGATAAACATTTGAAATAGTGGTACTAATAACTGAGTGATGCCTGTTGGAGGTGGCGGGATCTCGCTACCTGCAGATAAACATTTGAGGGGGATTGTGGCATTTGTTGTCAACTTACATATGTATGTATGTTCTATGTATGTATACATATATTTTTATGTAGAAGTTACAGTGGCAGGAAAAATTGTCCACATGTTTAACATATTTTTACATTTTGACGAGCTGTACGCTATAAATATTCAGCCTTAATTCATGGTGGCCATACACGTAGAGAGGAGCAGTTAGAGCACTCACTCAAATCTCCTAAAACCAGAGTAGTATATTTCATGGTTCTTCAACACGACAGCATTTAATAACAGCACATCCGGACAATTTGTACCGAGGACAGGCAGCAAACTAGTAACTACCAAAACTAGTACCTAGTCAACCGACACTTGGCCTTGATCACCACCTACACCCTCCTAGGCATGTTATCTACGAGGTTAGTGCAAACCTTTACAGGGATCTTCTCGCACTCTTCCTAGACCCACGCTTTTGCAGAAGAGGGTGAGCACTAGGAAAATCGCGAAGTATTTGAACGTATGCAAGAGTACTGTGCACGATTTCATGTTGAATGTTATCTCTAAGACTAGCCATGCTGAGGTGTGGCCAAAGATGCCATAAGTCGATTGGTCTCGTCTTATCATGGATCGTCTTCATTGTACAGTTGTAGGTAAAAATTACGAGCAGAGTGGCGAAAACTAGCATGTCCGCTGCGAAACTTAGGGTAACATAGCACGGTCGACAGTACAGCTCCAGACCGGGCCCCTTCGTTGCACTGTATGCCGCCGCCCGCACCCAACCGTCCGCTACTTCTACCGCCTCGACGACCTCTTCTGTTGCCGCTTCGGCCCGGCCACGGACCTCCCCGACTGGCCCAGTCTGCTGTGCCACGGTGTGCTTGTTTTTGACTTAGACATGGATCAGAATAGTGCTGCCCTGCATTCTCTGTATGCTGACGCTTCTAGTGTGTCCGGATCTTACTACCCTGTGTTCTCTAGCTAAGGTGTAGCACCTGTGTGTAGTACAGTCTCCCCTGCTGCGCCAGGCGTAGGACTGTTTGCTTTGTCTAGCCTAGGCTCCACACTCGCTCCTCCTTCGTCTGCCGCTACTGCTTCGCTATCCTTCACACTTGACTCCGGTGCGTCTGCCTGCTTCTTCCGTGACCATGCCACCCTCACACCACTTGCCATGCCTGCCGCTGTCGCACTTGCTGACCCCTCTTCTGGTCCTGTTGTTGCTCGCAACTACACTACCCTTCTCCGTCCGGCTGTTCCCTCGGGCTCCCTTACAGGACTGCACATCCCTTCGTTCTCCAGGAACCTAGAGTCATAAAGTCACCAGTCCTAACCACTGGGACAAGAAGGGATGTCACCAGGAGGGTTAGGCTCGATATATCCACCTTCCTCGATGAAAGCCTCCCCGCTACCCTCCCTAGAGATAGAGAGAGGATCTACAGGGTTTTTGTTACAGGATCGAATGTGTCGAGGAAAGATTGCACTATCGATTGATACAAGGCGCTTTTATACTTCCAGAGTACATCAGGTAACCAGGTTTATCATATCCAAAGGGAATAGACCCTTCTAGAATATAGAATCACCCTGCGTATAGCCACGCGAGGCTATTGGCTTTAAGGGATTATGACAGGATTACGCTAGATATAGCGCGCCAGTACATCCCGAGCCTGGTCGGTGATATAATTATAATAACATAATAAGCCAAAGGATAATAGAAAATGGAGAATAGGAAACCAAATGAGATGGGATAAAAAAGAGAAATAAAATAAGGATAAGGACAAGTAGTGTAACGAGGTCGTACTCTCACACTTCCCCCCCTCAAAGCTAGGTGGTAGAAGTAACACCCTGCTTGACAAGGTAGTCATGAAGAGGACGACGGACGTTACCCATGTCGGTCTCAGGTACCCAGCTGTCCTCAGAAGGATCATAACCCTTCCAACGAATGAGATGCTCCATGGTGCCATTCCGACGTCGGCGGTGGGCAAGCACGGACTCGACCTCGTATTCGGGTTCATTCTAGACGAGGACAGGCGGCGGCGGCGGTTGGCGTCCGACAAAGATCGTGTTGGGATCCCGATAGGGCTTCAGAAGTTGGACATGGAAGGCGTTGTGAATCTTCCAGGTACAGTAGCTGGCAGGCGTAAGCGGAAGGTAACACGGGTGATCTGTGCTTCAACGAGGAAAGGCCCGCAAAAGCGCGGTCGAAGTTTCGATGGGAGATGGCTGATGTCAAGTTTGCGGGTGTCGAGGAGCACCTGGTCTCCCACGGTGATGGTGTGGTCGTTGCGATGGCGATCGGCCTGGCGCTTCTGTTGCTGTTGAATGTGAAGGAGGCGCTTGTGGGTCTGATCCCAAAGTTGATGCATGGTTGTGATGAAATCGTGTGCACGTTGGACTGTAGCTGAGGCTGTCGGTTTTTGTGGTGTGAGTGGGTGGCGTCCGTAGCAGAGGAAGAACGGCGTCTGTCCAGCAGCGGCATGTGTAGCATTGTTGTAAGCAAACTCTAAAACAGGCAGGTGCAAGTCCCATTTGGAGATCTCGTCCTTGCAGGCTGCTCGGAGGAGTTGCTCGACAATTTGGTTGAGGCGCTCGGTCTGTCCATCTGTCTGCGGATGGTAAGCGGATAACATGGCGAGTTTGGTCCCGAGTAGAGACATTAGTTCCTTCTAGAACTTGCTGGTGAACTTGGGGTCTCGGTCAGAGATGAATGTGGTTGGAATGCCATGTTGTGAGATGATGTAGCGAACGAATAGTTGTGCTGTTTCTTCGGTGCGTGCTGTCGTGCGTGTCGGGATGAAGTGTCCCATTTTGGAGAACTTGTCGATGACGACAAGGATTGCGTCATGACCGCTGGAGGTAGGTGGTATCCCGGTGATGAAATCCAGGCTAACCACTTGCCATGGTTGTTCTGGGACAGGAAGAGGCTGTAGTAGTCCCGCCTTCTTCTGCTTGCTGCTCTTCATCCGCTGACATGTATCACATGAGGTGACGAATTTCTAAACATCTTCTGCCAAGTGGGGCCAGTAGTAGTGCTTCACGATACCAGTCAGCGTGTTGTTGCTACCGAAGTGTCCTGCATACAGGATATCGTGGTATTCTTCGAGTAGTAACTGGCGCAAAGGAGGGTAATTGGGTACCCAGATTTTCGTTGATCCTTTCCGGTACGCGATGTCATTGTCCCACTGTAGCAGATGTTGCTTCTCTG